ATTACAAAGGGATAAAATAATGCAGTTAAAATGTACAATTTCTATCTCGTTTTGTAAAATATTGCAAAAATGTAGAGTTCCTCTGTCACTCTCTTAATCCCCCTAAAAGTTCTAAACTTCCAGGAAATAAAAGAATCCCTCTTAAGAGAGTAATTATTTTTGGTTTCAGTGTTTAGAAGAAGCTGGTTTTACTATGTAAATCTAGACAGTTTTCAACTTGGTTCAATATATTTTCTTTTCTTTTCTTTTTTTTTTTAACTGCATGCAATATTTACACTGCTCTGCCCAAAAAGCCAAGAAGCATAACTTTATAAATATTTCTCATCCTCATTAATATACAGACGTCAATTCTGTCTAACTTTGAGCAGTGTTTACATGCTCTGTGGTCCTATTTTGAATGCCATTCCTTTTACCAAACATGGTATCAGATGTCCTGTTGACATAATCCATGCATTTGTCTTCTAACACCCTGTACATGATGTCAATGTGGAGGCCCGCCTCTCACCTCCCAATCCGGGGTCATAGAGCTAGGTGGGGAAGAGAGTGTATCTATACCAAGGTTTGGCTTTTTGTTTTGTTTTAATGAATGACTTCATTTTAAGTCATTTATTTGGGATATTTTACCAAAAATGAGGTGGCCAGGCCCGAGAGAGACTGGAAAGGCTTCCTAGGAAGGCTGGGCTTTGCACTGAGGCTTGGATCAAGATCCTTTATCCCCCACTTACTCTCAGGTGTCTTTAGTCTGTTGTTTATTCTCTTCCTGCCTCATAAATCAAGTGACAATAATGTCATTCACCACAAAGTGGTTAAAAGGATTAACAGTAAAATAAAAGACAAGGAGACATAATAGAACCCAACTAAATGGAAGCAGCTGTTGTTACTATTATTAATTTAAGATTTTTTTAAAAAATATTTATTATTTAGTTTTAGGTGAACACAATATCTTTATTTTATCTTTATGTGGTGTTGAGGATCGAACCCAGTGCCTCGAGCATGCCAGGTGAGTGCAATACCACTTGAGCAACATCCCCAGCCCTAATTTAAGACATTTTTACAAGTTACCATCTTCCTTCCCAGGGAGCTTGTGTAATATAGAGCTTAATTACAAATTAAGACAATAATTTAGAATGATCATAGCTTGATTCTTTTCCTCAAAGATATTTTATTTTTAATTAAGATATTTTATTTTTAATAGGCCTCCCAGAGACAGCAAGTCTTAATGCAAATAAAATAATTGTGGACTTGTTGGCTAATAATAAAATATAGCAGAGGGGCTAATCATAGTATTTGAGGACATCCCTTCATATCAGCACCTTACTAATACCTACCATTTATAGGTCCTATCTGCCACGAGGCCCAGTATAAGGAGACTCATTATGTTACTTTACTCATCTTCATTGCCCTGAGTTATGAATCACACACCATTTTAAGAATGAGAAAACAGAGTCAGTTCCATAAATTGAACTAGGCTTGTGTGGATAGAAAGAGTTGAATTCAGCTCCAAACAGAAGCGTCTGTGACTCCAAAGTTCATATTCTCCCCTTTATACCAGGCTGCTTTCCCAGCAAACGAGAATAAGCATCTAAAACATAACTACTCAAACCCACACATATACAGTCAGCTGGGTTTTGACAAAGGATCCAAAAACACACACTGGAGAAAAGACAGCCTTTTAAAATACATGGTGCTAGGAAAACTGGTTATCTATATGTAGAAGAAGGAAACTAGGCCCTTCTCTCTCACCCTGCACAAAAATCAACTCAAAATGGATCAAAGACCTATGAATTAGGTCTTTGCAACTTCTAGACAAAACTGGTGGGTCAACAGTCCAGAATATAGGCATAGGCATTAACTTCCTCAATAGGACTCTTAAAGCTCAAGAATTAATATGCCAAGAATTAGTAAATGTGATGACATCAGGTTAAAAATCTTCTGCACAGCAAAGAAAACAATTAGGAACATGAAGAAAGAACCTACAGAATGGGAGAAAATCTTTGCTCTCTACTCTTTGGACAGAGAATTCATATCTAGAATATACAATGAACTCAGAAAACACCAAAAAATAATAATAATAACCCAATCAATAAATGGGCAAAGGAACTGAACAAGCACTTCACAGAAGAAGAAATACAAATGGCCAACAAATATATGAAAAACTGTTCAATGTCATTAGCAATTAGGGGGAAATGCAGATCAAAACCGCACTGAGATTTCATCTCACAACAGTCAGAATGGCAGTCATCAAGAATACAAACTATGATAAATGCTGGAGAGGATGTAGAGAAAAAGGAACACTTTTACACCTTTGGTGGCATTATAAATTCATGTAAGCACTATGGAAATAAGTATGGAGGTTCCTCAAAAGACTAGGCATGCAACCACCTTAGTATCCAGCTATACCTCTCCTTGGTATTTATCCTGAAGAATTGAAGTCATCGTATGATAGTGATACACGCATACCATGTTCATAGCAGCACAATTCACAATAGCCAAACTATGGAATCAGCCTAGGTGTCCATCAATGGATGACTGGATAAACAAAATATGGTGTGTGTGTGTGTGTGTGTGTGTGTGTGTGTATGAATAATCCATATGAGTTTTATTCATCCATTAAAAAAATGAAGATCAAGGGTTCTATGTTTTCTTTTATATGCAGAAGCTAGAGAGGAAAAAGAAAAAGATCTGTTGAGAAAGGGACCAAGGTTGTGGAAGGTAAAGAGAGAGAGAAGACGAGCTAGAGTGTGATATTGGCCAAATTCTAGTGTTATATTCTGTACATGCATGAATATATAACAACAAATCCCAATGCACCAATAAAAAATGTGGAAAGGGAAAAATAATGAAAATAAAACATAATTACTGACATGTGAACACTTGGGGAATATTGGGAACTGTGCTCAGATCTCTCTAGCATCCGTGGTTTGGATGATTATTCTTTGCTGGCCTCCTACACTGCAAACCATAATGTAATTGGATATTCTTATCTCAGAGGCAAAATAATCAGCATGTGTTCCCCTACCCTCTGCTACTGCCTAGCCTTAGGCAAGTTTCTTAACCTCCAGCCTCAACTTTCTAATCTACAAAGTGGGGGAAATACTAGGACCTAACTCAAAAGGCTATAATTAAGAACAGTAAATGAGTTGTTATTTGTACAAATTCCTAGTACAATACTTGGGACCTAGCAATATTTAATAAATGTCACCTATTATTGTAAAACTTAAGAACTGATTCATTTACAACTGAAGTGTCCATGTCTGGATCTCTTTCCTGCCCTGCACAGTTCCCCCATGTTTTCTCCCCAAGTTACAAAAGCTGTTTGAGAAATATTTCTGCCTGGAATTGGGAATTTGGGTGAAAATAAAATTAAACTAAACAGACTATAAAAATTCTTCTCTGCCAAGGTGGCTTGGAGCCAGGCCTGCTGGCAGTCAGAATGTATGAGCCAAGGAGGAATGAAGGGTATAAGTCCCTTCAGAAAATGCTCCTGCCGGGATGAATCTTCGGCATGGAATCAGAGCTGGCCTCCTCTGTGACAGGGTGCACTCCACTGAACAAGTGGCCTCTGTTGCCCCAGAGCCCCTGCAAAGTTCAGGCCAGACCCCCCAGTGTCAGCCAGTCTGACCTTCCCACCAGGAGAGGGAGGGCACAGACAGGGCCACAGTGTTGGTCTGTCTCACAGGGCTGGGCAGGACTGGCCAGAATCTCAGGCAAGGCAGGGGTGTCTCCCCAGGTGGCTGAAGGTAATGGAATAAGAATTTGTCAACAGAACAGTGGAACAGGAGTCAAGGCCAAGATGGGGAAAGACCCCCCGACTTCCCAGGAAAGGTCCCGAGGGGTTAGGTGACGAAAAGAGTGCACAGAAGCCACTGCGGGCTGCATACCAGAGAGCCAGGGGGTGCGGTACCCAGTGAAGCAGGGGACTTGGGGGACTCATCACCTAGGACCTTCTGGCCATGTCGAGGATTTTAGTTTTTACCCTAAAGGAAAGAGAACATTTTAAGCAGAGGAAATATGATCAGATTTGTGTTTTTAAATCACTTACTTGGTCTGAGGATGGAGCTCCGTGATAGAGTACTTCCCTAGCATGCATGAGGTTCAATCCCCAACACCTCAAAAAAAAAAAGTCTAAAATTGTTTACTCAACAAATATGATTGAACATCTACAACAGATTATGCAAGAAGAGTACTATAAAAACAAACAAAAAAATCCTCTAAGTGGACACATTCTCTTTAGCATGAAGATGAGACCAGTAACTAGAAGCAGGTTTATCATGTGAAATGTTTCATTAGGAAAGCTTTGTAAATGGCATATATGAAATTCAAATGCTGGAAGACAGTGTTTCTAAATGAGGAATCTGGAAAGCTTCCTAAAGAAGGTAGAATTTGAAGGCAGAGATGTTAGCTCAAAGAGACAGGGCTGGACGCAAACTGCACGAATCAGCCAAAAACCTTTATTCAGGAATGGAGTCATGGTTCTGATGGGGACCCACTCTCCTGGTGAAAAATGAGCCACTGAACAAAGGAGGGGACTGGGCTTATATAGGTTGTGGGTGTTAGTGAGCATGTTATTGGGTGCTCAAGAATTTAGGTTTGGGGGTTGGGGGTTGGTGGCCAGCACCTGGAGAGGATTTATATCAGAAAAATCAGTGTTTCATAGAGACTATCCTTCTAGACTTGATGAAACACGTTCTCCCTGCCTGTGGCCAGCATCTGAAAATGATTTATCTTGGGAGAGATGAAAGCTATCAATGTATGGCTTTCTTTTTCATTCCTTTTCCTTGGGCCTCATTATTTTGGGGTTTTTCATTTCCCATATCCAATAAGAGAGATTGACACTCATGGGTAACTTAGCCTCATGTAATGTAGACACTGTAGAGTATAGACACTGGCCTCTGACATCCTGGGCCCAAAGTTCTGGCTCTACTGTGCTTGAGAGTTGTGAGACCTTAAGCAAATTGCCCAACCGTTCTTTTGATTAATATCATTTTTATTTGAACCAGACCTTGAAATAGGCTTTGGACATACAGAGCCAGGAGAAGCTGCATTTAACAGGAAGGGAAGGATGTGGAGAGCGTCAAGAAAGACAAGGAGACCTGAAAGCGGAAAAGCAAATCCGTTCCCATTGACTGGAGACCAAGCGTCTTAAGAAGAATTGTGCAGTAAAGAAGAGTATTAACACTTTCTGAATTTTTCCAAGGTGCTAAAACTCTGCACACATTAATTCATTTAATATTCACAACAACCCCGAAAAGAAAGTGTAACTTCCTTCATTTCACACATGAAGAATCTGATGCACTGAGCCTTGAGCAGCACGGCCAAGCTTGTAAGGGGGAGAGAGGATGCTAACTCAGTCGTCTGATTCTGAAGCTCATGCCCTTCACTCGCTCCACACCTGTGCCTCCCCAACAGCCACTGTTCAGTTTGGACAGCACCTCTCCTGAGCTTTCCCTTGGCTCCCACAAGCACATAGTTTTGCTGTTTCTGAGGACATTCAAGAGCCTGATCTTCAGCTAGGAAAGCAACACCCAAAATGCTCTGCGCTGAAATACATATTGCCAGATGCCTCCTGAAGGTGACTACCCGTGCAGTTCAACATTCATTTAAAAGTGTAAGATCTCTGGATGGTCTTGAAGCATCAGTCACATTTCTTGTATTCACACCTCTGTGCTACCTTGGAGTAGTAGCAAATTAAGCCGGAATTAGCTTTTCACGCTGAATGATTTTATAAAGTTTGCTTCAAACTCCTGCAGCTTGACTACTTTAAGTGCCAAAAAAAAAAAAAAAAAAAAAGCCAATATGGTGGAAACGGCATTTAAAGCAGGTACATAAATTTACTCCAAGATCCTGGACTGTGTGCTTCCACAATTCGTTTTTTTTAAAATCGCTTCTTCTAGCTCTCAGTCAAATAAAAAGAAGACAGTTGGAACAAGAATTTTAAAAATGTTACTTCTTTCCAAAAAGAACCATTAGTGACAAATGTGTCTTTTATATCAAGGAGTAAATTCAGCCAGGGAAACAAACAAACAAACCAGCATGTCTTTGAGAATGGGAATTGACATTTGAGAGAGAATTGACATTTGGTAAGTTTAAAAATAGTTACTCCAGTAGATAGAGCATCTGCCCACTAAAAATATGAACCAACACACAGGCTCGCTGCAGTGTGGGGCTCGGACCAGGTTATTGGGCTATTCAATAATGCCCTATTTTTAGGGCAGTGGAGCCAGGAAAAAAAAACACCCTGGCTTCAGTGGCTCAATTAAACATGTAATTCAAGGGCATATAGAGCACATCTCTGAAATACCTAGAAATAAGAACTTGGAATTCAGAACACACTTTTCTGCTGTGGTTACAGGAAGGGAGACCAAGGTGATCACTGAGTCTATTCTTGTGATGGTGGAGATATTGATTGTCAGGACTGGGAGAACCTTAGAGATGACCTTGTACTGGACATTTGATGTTTATGGGCTGCCCAGAATCTGAACCTGCCTTTGGAGTATAGCTGGGAGGCAGAGCCTACTTCCTTCTCTAGAAAGCTGTTTTCCCAGTTCTCCTGGCGGTGAGGGCTCTAATAAATGACCCAGCTCAGAATGTCAGCTGCACCTGCTCAGGTTTTTGAGTCAGGAGTTAATGACGCAAAGAAGGAGGGAGAGCAGAGAATTCTTTCCGAGGATAGAGGCAAAGGCAGTAACATCCGGCTCCCCAGGGCAATGTGGCTGATGGTGCCAACAGGAGTGTCTGGTGCCCATTCCTAGCACAAGTGCAAGCTGTGACACTCAGTGTGCAATGGCATAGTGGCCAGGGTGGCCCTGCTGGAATCTGGATCCTGGTGGGGTCTCTGGTCCTGGTTTACCTGTGCAGGTTTCCTTGTTCCTGCTTGATATCTCTGGACCTTCAGGCTTCTTGGAAACCCAGTGAGCTGGCCAATCCCCTTTCAATCCATCCATTTTCTGCTTCAGTTACCCAGAGGCAATATTTATGCTTTGCAACAAAGAACCCTGGCTGCTATAATAATCCAACCCTGTTATTTTACAGATTGAATTAATAATAGTAGGTAAAGAACACACAGCTTATTAGCATCAAACCTCGACCTAGAAAGCAAGTCTTATGAGTCTCAATTTAGTGTGTACATCTTCATGTGGTTCAGGCTGACAGGATGGATGCTTCCTGTGGACATGCCCTCCTTGTTCTGTCCTGCCCAGAGGTCACCACTGTCATTATCTACCAGCCAAATTGTCTATATCCTTATGGTCATATATATCTAAAAAGAACAAATTTTAAAAATTGTCTCTATTTTTCTGAGTCATTTCAAAAGCCATTCCACTGGGCCCTATCTGATAGGCCCTGTCATTGTAACCTATCAGGCTACAAAGTATCTTTAGTTTTCCCTCTTTAAAAAAAAAAAATGTTATCAAGTGCCTACTATGTGTCTAGCTCTACTTAGGGATTCTATAGCAAGGTGCCGCAGTCTGGCTGGGCACAATCAGGAGCCACTTGTCAAAAGAAACTAACTTTATTTTTAGAACCACACACGCCAAACAAAACAGCCTCTCAGGAAAAACCTTCAGAGCCTCAACTGCCACCACCGGCTTTCCACAAGCCTCTCTCTCCCACACAAGCTTCTCTCCACCTCCCACAATCCTCCTGCTCTTGAGGCCGATTGGCTGGGTCACGTGGGCGGAGCCAAAAAAGTCCCCCAATGAGCAGCTCCGTGGTCTGAAAGGGCAGGGAAACAGCCCAATGAGCATCACCGCAGAGGAGCCAATCAGCTAGATGTTGCTGGGGCCGAGGAGCCAATCAGCTAGATGTTGCTGGGGCCGCTGTGAGCCAATCATCAGCCAGCAGCTGGAAGTTTGCTGGCAGCTGGAAGTTTGCTGGGGCCCCTTTGGCTGTGGCTCTCAACAGCAAGGAAAACAGAAATGGATTCAGGCATCATGAGTATTACCATAAAGAAGAAAAGACAGATATTAATCTAATAAACATAAAATTATAAACTGAAAACAACTAAGAAAGGAGAATATAGACAGTTATGACAGCATCCTATGGGGCCTTTTCTAAGTTAAGAAAGAATCTCTGAAAGTTTCTCAAAAGGCTAGGCATGGAATCACCAAATGATCCTTCTATACTACCCCTTGGTGTTTATCATAAAGAATTAAAGTCATCATACTATGGTGATACATGCATACCCACGTTTGTGGCAGCACCAATTCACAATAACCAAACCATGGGTACAGCCTCTGTGTCCATCAATGAATGAATGGATAAAGAAAATGTGGCATATATACACATGGAGTTTATTTAGCCAAAAATAAAAATGAAATAATGTCATTTGCAGGAAAATGAATGGAACTAGAGACCATGTAAGTGAAATAAGTCAAACTCAGAAGATTAAAGGTTATATGTTTTCTCTCCTATGCAGAAGCTAGACAAGAAGAAGGAAAAGAAAGTTAGGGGGAGACCTCATGAAAATCAAGGGGAGATCAGTAAAGGAAAGGGACCAATCACTGAGAGTTGGGGAGGGAAAGGGGAAGTGCTGAGGAGTGATATTAGCCAAATCATATTGTTATGTTGTACGCATATATGAATATGTAACAACAAATCCCATCATTATGTACTATAATTTACCAATAAAAAATGTGAATAAAATAGACACTAGTATTGCTGTATGTATATACGTGGCCGTATAACCAATGTGATTCTGCAACCTGTACACTTGGAAAAATGAGAATTCATACCCCATTTGATTCAAATGTATGACATGTCAAGATCATTGTATTGTCATGAGCAACTAATCAAAAAAATGTGAAAATAAGACTCCCTGAGGATGTAGTATTTGAACTGAGATCCAAAAGTCAGTTAATTTGGTGAACAGCAAGGGGGGAGTTTCTAGGTAAAGGAACTGGCAGTCCAAGGTCCTCAAACAGGAGATGCACAAAAGTAGGAACAACTAAAAGAAAATCCGCTGAGCAGGGAGTGATGAAAGGGGCTGGGACTGGCATGTTGGAGCAGAGACAGAGATCATTTAGGACTGGTGGGCCTTGGAAAAGATATTGCTGTTAACCATTGGGGCAGCAGGGAGCTGCTGAATGAATTTAAGCAGGGGAGTGTCCTGGTTATACTATATTTTGAAATCATCACTGTGGTGGTTCCATGGATAATTAATTGGAGAGGAAACAAGTGTGGACATATGTAAATCAATCATCAAGGGAGAGGCGAGGGTAGCTTAGGATAGTAGTGGGTTAGGAGGGATACTGTCAGACTGGAGCAATAGTAGGATGAAATAAACAAGACTTGGGGAGACTGGAGAGTGGGTATTAAGATTGGTAAAGCTACACTTCTGGATAGATGGTGGAATTATTCACTGTAGAAAGGCTAATTTGAGGATGTCATGGGCTTGGCTTTAAATAAATTGAGTTTGGGATGTCTTTTAGACATTCCAATGGGGTTATTAATATGTATGAATCTGAGACTCAAAAGAGAGGATTGGGGGCTGGGGGTATAGCTCAGGGGTGGAGTGCTAGTCCAGTGTGTATAAGGTCCTAGGTTCATCTCCAGCATGAGTAGGTGGGGAGATTGGGCTAAAGATGTGAATTCGATTGGGCTAAAGATGTGAATTATTTGTATAGATGATCATTGAAGCCATGATTGGGAATGAGTTCATCTGAAGACAGAGTATAGAGGGACTATAGGAAGAAACACAGGAAACGCCTTTAGGAATTACATTTAGAGATCACATAGAGGAGGGTAACCCGGTAAACAATACTCAGAAGGCACAGACAAAGAAAGAGAAGGAAAACCAGGAGAGTGTGCTTCACTGATGCCGCAGGCAGCCAGTGTTTTGAGAAGCAGCTGAGGTCCACAGTCTCAAGTGTCACCGAGAGCTGAGCTGCGCAAGCTGAGGATGGAAAAGTCTCCAAAGGTTCCAGCAACACTGAGGCCATTGTTAAACTGGTGAGAATCATTTTCATTGCTCAGTAGGAGGGGGTCGGGGGGGTGAGGATGCCGTGAGAGGAGGAGCAACTGGGAAGTAAGAAATGACATCCCAGGGAGAAGCATATATGGGAAGAAAGAAGCTGACTGCCTTTAATAAAATTTGTCTGAAAATTGTTGAAGGAATTAACACCACCCATCTCTCAAGAAATTACCATGTTTTATATAGGCATTTGATGACTTAATCCAAGTAACAGTTGATGTAGGTAGGACTTTCTAGCCTTGTTATGTTACCAAGAAAAACCTAAATACACCCTGTAGCTTCACTTGCTCTTAACTGACTTAAAATAAATCACTAAGTTTGGAGGTAACATGGCTAGGCAATGCACTATTAGTTCCCCACTGGCTTGCTGGATATCACACCACCCTGACATGCGGATTATGATAATAACGGTGGCCTAGATTACTCTCAGAGGACCTAAGAGCCACTTCTGCCAAAACACTGGCTCTTCACTTGGGCCTGCAGATGTTCAGGGGTCTGGAACAGAATGGAAAGGCTTGGCATCTCTGCATATTGCATCTGTCTCCTGTGCTGCCTTAACCTTTGGGTCAGATTTTACTCAGCACTGCATGTAGACGAGATGATCCTTTGAGAGGTTTTATCCAAAACTATATTATACAGGGTTAAATTGACCTAGACTTACCAAGTCTACTGCCCCACCCTTCCCCTTTAAGGCCAAAGACACCTATCAGCCTCCATGACTAAAAACATGATACCACGGAAGGAATGACAAAAGGTGGCACCTGAGTTCCTGGAAGATCTCATCCATTCTGAAAACGGGTGAAAGGACATGTATATTCCTCCCCTTTATTAGCCTATCCTTCTCCCCATATTCCTATCCCACAACCCCCCAATACCTTGGTGTTGAGAAGCTGATTTGAGCTTCCTCTTCTCCATTCTTTGACCACTGAATAAAGCCTTTCTTTCTTCCCAGCCCATGCCTCTTCTTTGATATTGGTTTTCTGTGTGATGAGCCTCTGAACCTGGGTTCAGTATCAACTACTGTTTTAGTCAGCTTTTTCACTGCTGTGACTAAAGGATCTGATCAGAACAACTGTAAGGAAGAAAAGTTTATTTGAGGGCTCACAGATTCAGAGATCTCAGTCCATAAAAGCCTGCTCCATTCCTCAGGGCATAAGGTGAGGCTCAACATCTTGGTGGGAGAGGGTGGCAGAGGGAAGCAGTTCGCGTCATTGGGAAGCAGAGAGGGAACTCCACTTGCCAGATACAAATGTATACACCAAAGCCACGCCCTAATTCCCACCTCCTCCAGCCACACCCTACCACTTCGGTTACCACTCGGTTAATCCATGGGGGATTAAATCACTGATTGGGTTAAGACTCTTACAACCCAATCATTTCTCCTCTGAACCTTCTTGCATTGTCTTACATGGAGTAAACTTTTGGGGTACACCTCACATCCAAACCATAACAAAGAGCAAAGCAGCTCACATGATGATTAGGAAGGAGAGAGAGAGAGAGAGAGAGAGAGAGAGAGAGTGCAGGAGCACATCCCACCTGTCTCTGGTTACCACTCAGTTGATTTACTGACTAGGTTAAGGCTATAACCAATCATTTCTCCTCCAAACTTTGCATTGTCTCACAATGAGCTTTTTGGGGACACCACATCTAAACCATAACAACTATGCTGCCAGAGGTCAGGTTGAAGCTCCACCCTCTATGTGCCTGTGTCTGGATAGTGTCTGTTGCAGTATTTCCAATGTTGAATTGGGTGTATGATCCATCTTCCCTATTCTTCATGTTTTTAAGGGTTAAAGAGCATATTTTACTCATCTTTGTGTCCCCTGGGCCAAATATAGAGCCTAACTATTTGCATTGCATAAGTCAGAGTCTGCTAGAATTGAGCCAATGCCTTCAATAAATAGTTATTGAATGACAAATGAGTAAACAGTAACAAAAACAAGTGAGAAATGGGAACTCTGAAAGAGAACACCAGAGTTTAAAAAGTGCTTTCCATCTTCTGCCAAAGCTCACCCATCTGCGCATTCATCCATAAAGCCAGCCCTGGGGGCAAGATAAGCCCTGTATCTGGAGCAGCAGGACTTCCCCCATCAACACTGAGGTAAATAAGAGGACATCAGGCTCTGGCTGGAACAAACAGGTTGAGGATACAGCAACTTGTCCTTGGGGATTGAAGACCTGGTGAGCTAAGTCAGACTCAGCTGTGCCTCTTCTTTGGCCAAAATAATCTCTAAAAATACCCAAACCTCTTACTTAAATCAAACTTTGCCTAAATTCCTTGAAAAATGGAGCAATAATATGGCAGGATCAGAGCTAGAAATTATCCCAGACTTAGGACAGTTGCTTCAGAACAGGGCTGCCTGCAGCCTTCGGAGACCAGTCTAAGAATGCATGTGATCTCTTCCTCTTTCATTCCACACCACCCTGGTCTGAATGATTTCATTGCTCATTATGAAAAATCTCATTCACTTTTATCTACTTTCCTGAGTGGTCCTATCAGAGGGAATTTGCCAAGTCAACATTTTCTTTTACCTGGAATATCAAGTGCATTAATATTAACTGGCAAAGTTCACTCTTTTTGCCACCGTCCTTCCCCCACGGCCACCAGGCCTCAGATATGCTGTCCTCCCTTTTCTTCCCTTCTTTGTGTCTCAAGGAGCTAATGGCTGTGGGCCATGTCCCTTGAGCTCCCTTGCCCTGTGACCAACTGGGATTGTAAATGAGAGGCACTGGCAGGAGGCTGAGAACAAGGAAGTGTGAGGTTAGTATACCTCCCCACCCCTTCCTGCACAGGGGCTCTGGCAATAGCAGTCCCTCTGGGATCCCACAGGGACCCCAAGTCCCTGCTGGTTGCCCCTTCTTCATGATTCGAGCTCCCATGGCCCCTCTGGACATCAGATGCTGAAGACTTTTCACTGTGGCTCATCCTAGGTGTCTCAGTAGTTTGGGATGTTTCCTTGGCTGGCCTTTACCTCTGAAAAAATTCTTTGCTCAATTATCTTCCCAAATTCCATCTGAATAACAGGACTCTGCCTGGCACACCCACCTGCTCCCTCTTTTACGTAGGGGAACAAGGGAATTAAATGGCCATGTGAATCAAATAACAGTAAATTCACGAAAACAAATTTAAGCAACAGTCAATTGAGAGTCTAACATTTTAACTTATGGAAGTAGATTTCCAAGGTCTGTCTGCAAAACATTTCCTTGTGGCCTATGAGTAGTACCAATCAGGTTTTTCCACCAATGTGGATGAATTCCTGACTAAAAGACATTTTCAAACTTCAGTGGATTGAAACTTGTTCTTGCAACACTGAGCAGCACAGATTAACATGGAGAGGTATGTTCATTCCAATGAATTGGCTTCTACAAATAGGCATCTTGAAGTAAGGAAAAATCTGTCTTTACTTTACTTTTCTCTACCTTTCATGCTGCTCTAGTGCTCAGGGTCTCTTCTTCCACAGCACGGCAAGGAGAAAACCTAACACACCAAGATGTTAGTGAGCTGCTACAGTTCTTCACATCCTAAAGTGACTCCGAAACAGTATATCTGGTCTTTACGGACAGCAACCTCTCACACCTCTCCCCACACCCAGAGTCACACATGTGTGCGTGCACACACACAGATACACATACACAAAATCACACACAAGCACCCAATGAACACCGTACAAATAGGCTTGAACCTGCCCTCTGGATGCAGCCTAACTAGAGATAAAGAACAGAAAAGAAAATATCTATATGCAGATATGTCTTTTATATAGCTAGAGACAAATATCTCTGGGAAGATGTAATGGAGAAATAACAGGAAACCACCATGAGAAAGCTGCTTCACAGTGCTGGGTTCGTGTGATCCTTGTGGTAGTGGCTCAGGGTGTTTGCTTAAAGTCT